AGGCCATAGACCGGGCGCCGAGAAGCCACTGGGTCCCAAGGGGAAGGCCAGTGAACCCTGCGGGCGACGCAGGTAGACCTGCTCGTGTAGGCTGCCCTGAAGAAAGCAGTGGAGAAGTCGAGGGAGTGAAGCTCGAGTCCGCTGGCTGCTACGTGTAGCAGCCCCGAAGAGTAGTCATCTTCGGGGTCGGGGCGAAGTCTGGAAGAAGTCCACCCCCTCACGCTGGCTGAAACTCTGCCACGTAGCGCGCCTTGAAGACAGTGGCTCTCCTGGGGGCGCTTTACCTTGAAGAGCCACCGACCATCGACTACGTCACCCCATGTGGGGAACTGCGTCGACGTAAGTGCCGATGGATCTCCAAGATGCCATCTCCTGCTCCATGCTGCTATCCACTGAGAGCCCAAGGTCCTAGGTGGCCTCAGCATAGTGCGAGGGGTCGGGATGTCGAAAGCGTCTGGGTCACCCTCAGGAACTAGAAGCATGGACAGAGATGGGGAGCGCCTCGGAAAGGAAAGCAAGCTCGAACTGCCGGTCCTCTAGACGTCACTGCCAAGGGCAGGTGCACCCCCGACAGACGGAGGACGGCAGGGCAGAGACAGAGCGGCGTAGTCAAGGCGGCGGGTGGAGGCGAAGTCAGCGACAGCAGCGACAAGCGCGTCAAGGCGCGAGACAGAACAGAAGGGTCGGTAACAAGGGAGGCAAGAACCCGAGGACAAGAGGACGAGTGGCACGGAGGTAGTCCGAGAACGGAGGAGGCGCAACAGCAAGCGACGAGGGAGGAGGGGAAAGAAGGGGAGGACGAGACGAGTGGGAACGGAGCAACATAGGGTGGGAGCGCAGGACACGAGACGGGACGGGCACGGAGGGACGGCGAGACCAAACGTGGACGGAGGGTAGGGTCAGGAGACAGCGGAGGGGACACAACAGGAGAACGAGGAGGAAGACGGCCGGAGACGAGTCCGGGCGGGAACAAAGGACCGTAGACAGGAAGGTAACAGGCGGCGGGGAGACACCGGCGAGAGGTCCGGGAGGGAAGGCCGAGCAGGCGGAGAGCGGAGACCGGCGGCGACGGCTGCTGCGACGGCTGGGCCAGAACCCTCGGACCGGCAGAGCAGAACGACCGTCGGCGAACCCTCAACAGCAGCACCCCCAGAACCAACACCCCCAGAGCGAGAACCCTCTCCAACACCAGCGGCACCCCCAGGGGCCAAGAGCGGCGGCGGCAGCGGCTGCGGCAGCGGCAGCGACGCCGGCGGCGGCGGCGGCTGCGGCGGAGGCGGCGACTGCGACAGGGGAGGCGAGGATACCGGGGAAGGGGGACGGGGCAAGGACGGGCTGGGGGTACCACCAGAGTCAGCGGACTCCTCAACGGGGACAACCGACGGGAGGGGAGTGACGTGAGAGACACCAGACGGGGCAGGACGAGATGGGAGGGGAGCAGGGCTACCGGGGGAGAGGGAGCAAGGAACAGGGGCGGGGCAGCCGGGAGACCTCGGTGAGGGAAGCGGCGGTAGAAGGAGATAGACTCGTCAAAGGTGACGTCACGAGAGTGGAGGAAGCTGTGAGACGGAGGGTGGTAGAAAAGCCAGTCAAACGAGTCGAGGGGGAACCGAGGAAGACACAGGGGACAGTGCGGGCAGTGAACTTGTACGTACCAGAGGCACGAACGTGAGCAAGGCAGCCCCAGACGTGGAACAAGACGCGTCACCCGGGACCCTATCCAAAGGAGGGTCGGCGAAACCTGCGGCCGCTGGGAGTGGGCCACAAGTTAAGTTGGTGAGCAGCGTAGCGAACAGCGAACGGCCACAGAAAATGGGGGCATCGGCATGAATCATGGAGGTACGAGCAACCTCCCTGACCAAGCCGATGCGGTGCTCAGCAACCCCATTCTGCTGTGGCGAGTTCGGCAAGGTGTACGACTGGGTGATGCCCTCCGCACGACAGAACTGTCCAAGCCGACCAGAAGCAAACTCGCCGCCACGGTCAGAGTGGAGACACAACACGGGGAGACCGCGGTGAAGACGCGCAGCTACAACCCACGGGAGAAGAACGTCGGGCACGTCGGCCTTCCGCTCCAGGGGAAACACGTGGTGTAACGCGTGTAGTCGTCGACGAGCACAAGGAAGTAGCGCTCACCGCGCGGTCCGGGGACGGGGGCAGGGCCCCAAACGTCCAGGTGCATGGTCTGAAGTGGGGCAGTAGCCGGGCGCAGCGAGGAGGAGTGTAGAGCACGGTGGAGCCGGCCCTCGACGCAAGGCATGCACGGTGGCGGAGTCGAGGGAGGAAGGGCGGGGAGCGACGCAGGGAGACCTAAGACAAGGCCGTGCTGGGACATGTGATGCAGACGAGGAGAGCAGGGTGACCTAAGCAGTGGTGCCAGAGAAGGGACGGATGAGTGAGGGAACGGCACGAGCAAGCTGCAGCAACCTGGGAGGACACCCAACCAACCGGGGGGAAGCAGTGTCGAGGGTGAACAGACCGGACACCGGGTCCCGGGGAAACGTCGCAAGGAGGGAACCTGAGACAGCCTCAGAACAGACAGCGAACCGCTCGTGCCCGGGGAACGTGGTGGTGACGCCGAGGTCCTGGAGGCAGCCGACACCAACCAGGTTCCTCGAGAACGAGGGAACGTGGAGGCCTGTAAGGGAGCCCGAGGGAACTGCTAGATAGGGAAGGGACGTAGAGCTGCGAGCGACGACAGGACCCGCAGAAGGGTGAGCAAGAGAGACGACAGCAGGCGTAGCAAGCGGCGTGAGCGCGGAACGGTCGCGGAAGAAGCAGGCAGAAGCACCGGAGTCGAGAGTGAAGGACAGCGCAGCAGTGGCGGGGGCCGGGAACGGAGCCAGTGCAGAGACGAGGCTAGACAAACAAGGCAGTCCTACGCCTGACGCAGCAGGGGAGGCTAAGCTACACAACGGTGCAATACCTGAACTAGAGAACACAGGGTAATAAGATCCAGCAACACTAGCAGCGTCAGAATACAAGGCATGCAAAGCAGCACCTAGCTGATCCATGTCTAACTCAAAGATCGGCACGCCCTGGCGGAGCAGGCTGTGCCAGTCAGGGAGGTCCGGGGCCGGGCCAAAGCGACGACGAAACAGATCGTCGAGGCGGCGGAAACAGCGGGCAGTCGGGTGCGGGCGGCGGCACAGAGTGCCGCGAAGGGGCCCGGTCTGAAGCTGGTACTGGCAGGTCACAGCACCGGAGCCGCTGGTAGACGCCAAGCTGCGCGGGCCGCCACCACGGCCACCACCTTAGGAGGTGCCGGGCCAACCAGGCGGGAGGCGAGCCCACTGCTGCGGGGGCTGCGGCTGGGACGGCGGCTGCTGCTGGGACGGCGGCTGCGGCGTGGGCTGCTCCTGCTGCAGCTGGGGCTGCTGCTCCTGACCACCAATGCTAGTCCCCCCAGGCGGACTACTGTCACAACCACCACCACCACCACCTGCGCCACCACCCCTACCATCCTAGCGACCACGGCCACCGCGGCGCGAGCGCTGCTGCGGGTGGACCGCAGCAGCCGTCTCGGTGAGGGAGGGCGCCGTGGCGACCGCAGCCGAAACGTCAGTGAACGTGCACTGGGAGGGGGCCCATGAGGGGCGCGACGGGCTATGAGGCGCGACAGGGGCCCAGGAGAGGCGCGACAGGGGCCCAGGAGGGGCGCGACAGGTTAGGAGGCGCGACGGGGGCCCAGGAGGGGCGCGACGGGCTAGGAGGCGCGACAGGGGCCCAGGAGGGGCGCAACGGGGCCTAGGAGGTACGAGGGGCCCAGGAGGGGCACGACGGGCTAGGAGGCGCGGCAGGGGCCCAGGAGGGGCGCGACGAGCTAGGAGGCGCGATAGGGGCCCAGGAGGGGCGCGACAGGCTAGGAGGCGCGACTGGGGGCCCAGGAGGGGCGCGACGGGGCCTAGGTGGGGGCGCGACGTGGCCTAGGTGGGGGCGCTACGGGGCCTAGGTGAAAGCGCGACGGGGCCTAGGAGGCACGGGCGGAAGCGGTAGGTGGGGGGGGTTGAACCTACGGGTGATACCATGTCGAGAAGAAAACTGGACAAGTGTATTGCTAGAGACAGAGTACAAGGGTATATACCTAAGAATGTTGTACCCTCTAAGAGGTGACCCTATGCAGTCTATACAAACATGAATTATATATATGTTTAACACTTACGGCCTTATGTCCCCAGTTCGTCAGAATTGGCGCGCCAACGCGCTGTGCCGCAGCTGACGCCTCTGCAGGAACCGACAACCGAGCCTTTGAAAATTCTCGGCCATCGAGTCACGACGCAGGTGAACCATCGGATGATTGATTTTCTCGTCCGCTGGCGCGATTGCACGTCCGAAGACGACAGCTGGGTGCCGCTCGCTGAGCTAGATCCGATTCTAACGGCGTATTATCAGCGTCAGAATGTTTCCGATGCCCGCGGTCTCGTTTAGGAGGGGGGGGGTAGTGTAAGGAATTTCTATTCCTTACTGAGTCGTACGCTAGCGCGTACGCCCGACTTCCTCGACTCGTCACGTTCGGCCTCAATTATCGGCCCAACCCTTTCCCGAGTCGCTCCCGGCACTGTCACCACATTGCCGAACCTACCCACGTTCCGAGGTTATCGCCCTAGTACGCCAACTCCTATATAACCTCGTGCCTTCATTGCAATAGAGACCATTGTATTCTCACGATATAGGACATTGACACTTCCTATTTCATAACAGAGGAAGGCACGTCACATCCTCGTTACCCTTGGGAACTGTAGCCTCGCCATTGGGCGACTCGTTTCGCCACACTACCCCATCATGATCCCACCATTTTCCCAACCAACCCAGCGTGGCTGGAGTTGGAAAAACGTATGGTGGCATCAATGCGCTTTTCAGTGCGGTATTGTATGATTCCAAACGGTACGGCTTGTTTACACCTTAGTTATGGTTAAACAAGGGTCACCCCCTGGTTGGTGCTGGTGTGTGCCTGGTTCTTATTCCTCTCGGTTCCGTTCTTGGAGGTTCGATTTCCCAACACCAGTTGTGTTGATCATCTCATGCCATGCCATCTTCCAGCTGTGATGCAGAGATCTGCTGAGGGCCTCTTGCCAGGGGAGGAGCCTGTAACATCTCATTCGCAGCCTGTCTGAATCGTATTCGGTTTCTCGGAATAAGCACCAAATTCGGAATGCATGTCTGTGGACGAGGTTCAGGGAGGTTGTTGTTGACTAGCAATAAGCACTGAATCAGCACGGCTTTTGTTAACTGCCTAAGAATCACGGGCGAACGTCGAGGGTCGAGGCAGCAGAGCAGGCGTGAGGGAAACTAAGTGAAAGGAAGGGTGGAAGGGTGCTTGGAGGAGCTTGTTTGCGAAAGTTGGTCCCTAGTATGCGTGCATGCCGGCTTTGCGACTGTTTCAATGTAGAGTGCAATTCAAGTCCGCAAGAACCATTTTCAGAAACCTTGTCTGGGCTATTAGGTTGTATGCAATAAGCTAGAGTGTAGAGTCTGAAGAGAAGAATCTTGGCAGTAAGAATTCGGAACCGTCAGCAAAGGCGGTTATTCGACTGCTACCAACCTCATCTATCTCAGGGAGCAGGATGGCGGCAGATATACGGCGTGAGGACGACTCAGCGAGCAGGTTCTCCTGTCCCTCGCGGCCAGTAACGGGAGCAGAGGCCGTGACTCCCGCTACAAGTCCTCCGAGGAGCTTCGCGAGGAGAGTTCGTCACCAACGGTCGTGGTCGGTTTTATTATCTTCTGAGGCTCCTCAATCCTTGTGGTTAGGAAGCTCGTTTGAGTTCCCCAAGGTCTCGCGGTCAGGACGGCCTTTGGAGTTCTCTCAACCCTCTCGGTCGGCTCAGTCCTCTGAGCTCCCTCAGCCATCGTTGTCAGGACGCTCAGAGGAGTTGCCTCGAACCTCGTTTTCGGGGCTATCTACCAGCAGGCTGTACGAGCTGACACTCGACACGCCGCCCAATCAGGAGCTCCTGTTTGTCCCCGCTACAAGCAGCAAGAAGGCAGCACGAGCACTGAATGCCGATGGAGGTCCCGAGGTTCATGAGGAGCCTTCCTCGCCAGGCTGGGCAGGTTTGTGGTTCCGATATTCCTGTTTCTTTTGTATTTTATATTTTCTGGCATGAAATGAAGAGTCTACGTTCGCCTCCATCTGCCATGGCATCACTGATGCTTTACTTCTACTACTGCGTTAAGTGAGTCAAGCGGCCGGTGCGTTGTTGTTTGGGACGAGCAATCCATAGGTTACCTGCGTCAGGAAGCTTCCTTCTCTGCCATGGAACTTACCCTGATCTCAGTCAGCCTCTTTTCTTTGTTATTTTTCCTCTCTTTTTTTCCTGCGTATCTCATGGCAGATCTGAAGGCTCAGTGCGAGCTGATGGACGAGGAGAACCGTCGGATCACATCAGTCAATCTCACGCACATCCCTCATGGCAACCTCGAGGGGGAGGAGACTCACAGCCTATGTGGCGACAGCCGAAGAAGAGGAGGGAAGGATGCGGACGGGGTTATCATGTACGGGCTTGGCTGGCAGCCCTGCAGCCACGTGGAAGCTTCCCACATCAAGGTTTCTGACGTCAAGAAACCTGAAGGGTGGAGGGAATCAGAGGCGGTGCGAAGGCACGCAGGAATCGGGAAGTCGCACAGGCGGCAGCAGTCCTGCCCAACGGACTACTGTGCTGCAGGGAAGGCAGCTGGGTCTGATTTGTTGTGGGATGAACGAGGCGTGGAGAGGGAAGGTGAAGGGATTGGCGAGCAGTGGCAGCCAGAGTGGCGTGTGGGAGACCTCTCTGGAAGATACTCAAGGCAACGAGAGACAGTGCCTCAGCAGCAGGACCAGGGGCAGCAGCAGCAGCAGCAGCAGCAGCAGGAGGAGGAGGACGAGGAGGAGGAGCGAGAACAGCAGCGGCATAAGCAAGGTCATGGCGTTTTGAGCCTTTTCGCCACGTGGCACAGCCGGACTCGCTCAAGACATGAGGAGTTTCAGTCGGCAGTTTCGACTCTGTCCCCCACTCCATCGCCCCCTCTACCAACCCTCACTCCATCACCCCCTCTACCAACCCTCACTCCATCACCACCTCCCCCACATCCACCTTCACTCTCCTTGGCACCTCGCCACCGCAGAAGCTCCTCTGGGGTGCTACAGCCCACGTACATGCTCCGAGGCTGGCACAAGCAGGCGAGAGAGGGAGAAGAGGCTGCTTTGACTCCATCCCCTCCCCCACCATCCTCCCTCGCACCTCACTACTGCCGGAGCTCCTCAGGGGTGCTGCAACCCACGTTCGCACCACGAGGCCGACCTGACCAGGCGAGGGATGGAGAAGAAGAGGTTGTGGGCAGAGCGAGTGGAGGGAGAAGAGGATTACAAGACGGTTCCGCTGATGAGCCAGGAGCACACTCATTCGGTTCGCTACATCGTTACTTAGGTTCTCCGTTAAACCCAGTACCTCGAAGGAGTGCCTCGGATGACAACGCTTTGTCACTGCGCTCACCACCACCCATTCATTGTGGGCAACCATTCAGCGAGGCCCCTTCCAGCCAGGCTACATCTGGGCTGGGTACACACAGCCAGGGGTTGTCCAAACAGGGTCTTTTTGGGCAGGGTGTATCCAGGCAGTTTGATTTGGAACAGGTGAGCTGTCAGGACGTGGTACCACCTGTGTTGGAACCACCTGAGATTCCACCTGGGCAAGGGCAGCAGGTGGCGGAGGAGAGGCTGAGAGAGGCCTTTGCCATGGGGTACCTGGCGGGCCTGCGGGATGCTGCTGCAGGCGTCGCTCTTGCTGCTCCTGCTGCCCCTTGTCCTCCTCCTGCTGCTGCTGCTCCTGCTGCTCCTACTGCTCCTGCTGCTGTGCCTGCTGCTCCTGCGGCTGCTGCTGCTGCTGCTGCTGCTGCTGCTGCTGCTGCTGGTCGTGCTGCGTCACCTCTGCAGTTTCTGCGCAGGACCATGCCCAGAATGTACCGAAGCAGCACGGTCAGTGGAGACTCGCATGGAGGCTCGCGAGGCTCTGATGGCGGTGGTACACCTGACCCGTTGCAACCCCCTGAGTCAGCTTCGCCCCTGCCTCGTGCATGGGATTTCCTACAGCCACGCAAGGTACTGTCTGGTCCGTTGCAGCCCCGCTCTAGTCCATTGCAGCCCCGCTCCAGTCCGCTGCATGCCCATACATTGTCGGGGCAACGGCAACCTCAAGTGTGGTCTGGGCCATTGCAGTCCCGTGCGGCGAACAGAGCCAACAGGGTGCCTGCTCGTGGGGTTGTGCCTCTGGCTGAAGCTTCCGGGTTTGAAGGTGGCAGTGCCGGGGCTGGTGCAGGCATGGTTGGTGGTGTTAGTGGTGCTGGTTGCGCATCTTTGCATGCAGAACGACTGAGGAGCGTGAGGAACCTGCTGACACAGCAGCAGCAACAGCAGCAGCCAGGGGCGCTGGTGGAGGAGCAGGAGCAGGAGCAGCGGCAGCAGAGGAGCTGTGCAAGGCGCAGGGCGACTGGCAGTTTGGGAACGTTGGAGGAGCTGGCAGGGAGAGCACCACAGACAGCACAGGCAGCAGAGGAGCCATCAGCATCAGCCAGAGCTCGTGGTGTTCGCTGGGAGACATCGGGTGGCAGGAGGCACAATGGAGACGGCAGTGATGTTAGGTTCGAACGGTCGTTGTCTGATGTCACAGGTGTGGGCAACGAGGTAGCAGCAGGGGGGGAGGGGATGGAGGGAAAGGTTGTGGTACAGAGAGCACCATCCGTGACTGCCCCACCTGCTGCTGCCGCTGCTGCTGCTGATACTCTTGCTGCTTCTGGTTCTGCTGCTACTGCTGCCCCTTCTGCTGCAGCTGGTGCTAGTGATGTGGTGGCTGCTGGCGCTTGCAGTGGCGCTGACAGCGATTCAGACAGCAGTGCTCCTCCTGGCCGAATGAGAGCGGGAGGAGGAGGCACAGGACCCTCCTCCACGGGACCCTCCTGCACAGGCCTGCACTTGAACCGCAGACTGTTCTCCGGCCGGCTGCTGCTGACTCGTGAGTCATAAGTTGAGAGTGTTGTCAAACATATATTGTTATGTTTGTATAGACTGTATAGGTTTGTGTCTTAGAGGGTACAACCCTTAGGTCATATACCCTTGTACTCATGTCTTCTATGCATTATTCAATTCTGATATGGTATCATGAGACGGTAGGTCCCGCCGCCCGCCCACGCTTCCGCCCTAGGTCCTAGCCGCCCGTTCCCCCCTAGTCGCGCCATTCCTAGCTGGCCCCGCGCCCGTTCCTAGCCGGCCCTAGCGCCTGTTCCTGCCGGCCCCTCGCGCCCGTCCTAGCCAGCTCTAGTGCCCGTTCCAGCCGGCCCCTTGCGCCCGTTCCTGTCGGCCCCTCGTGCCCGTTCTCGCCGGCCCTAGCGCCCGTTCCAGCCGGCCCCTCGCACCCGTTCCAGCCGGCCCCCTAGCGCCCGTTCCAGCCGGCCCCCTAGCGCCCGCTCCTAGCTGGCCCCGCACGCCCGTTCCTAGCCGCCCCGCGCCCGTTCCTAGCCGGCCCGCCCTAGTCGGCCCCGCGCCTGTTCCTAACCGGCTCCTCGACCCGTTCCTGGCTGGCCCCCCACCGCGCCCGTTCCTAGTCGGCCCTCGCGCCCGTTCCTGGTCGGCCCCGCGCACGTTCCTGACCGGCCCCGTGCCCGTTCCTCGTCAGCCGGCCCGCCGCCGGCCCCCAGTGCCCAGTTTGTAGCCGTGCACCGCGCAGCACCACACAACGCCGCACTGCACCGCTCTGCACCGCACTGCACCGCACTGCACTGTACAGCACCGCTCTGCACCGCACTGTACTGCTCTGCACCGCACTGCACTGCATCGCACAACACCGCTTTGCACCGCTCTGCACCGCACTGCACTGCTCTGCATCGCCCTGCACAGCGCTGCATCGCTGCTGCATTGCTCCTGATGGCGGACTCCGTGCTCCGCTTCGACGCAGAGGGTCAGCCGCTTGAGTTTGACACGTGGCTGGTCCACCTCCGTCGTCATCTCACTGGTCAGCGGCAGGACGGCCACTCCCTGGCTGTCCACCTTGACGGTACGCTCCTTGGCCCTGACCCCCCTGCTCCCCTGCCCGCTGACCGTGAGTCCGCCGCAGCTGCTGCCCTTGCCCGCTCAGTCTGGCTGTCGTGTGACGCCGTCGCGCAGCTTGCGATCAGTCATGCCCCCCCCCCCCCCCCCCCTGTCTGAGCGCCCCCGCTTTAGGTCAGTCACGACTGCGCAAGAGTTTCTAGATGTCGTCGTCAAGCGCTATTCCACACCGCCCGCTGCCTCTGTAGGTCGCCTGATCCTACCGATGCTCTTCCCTGACCTTGAGTCTTTCACTACTGTCGCTGACCTCGCCTCTCACCTGCGCACGATAGACGCGACCTGGCGCGCTGCCTGCACTGAGACCCAGCTTAGAGCCTTTCAGCTGCCCATCTGCTCTACCATCTACCTGCTTGCCACCCGCCTCCTTGGCCGTCTTGCTACTGCCCACGACCGCTTCCTTAGCATCCACCCCGGTGACCTCACCCTCACTGACTTTGTCGACACCCTGTCTGCCATAGAGACCCGCCAGCGCTCTATCGCCCAGACCAGCGGTACTGTGCCGGTCCCTATCTTTCAAGGTTGTGCCCCCGCTCAGTGCACCTTCTCCGACGGTTCTGCTGCTGTGGCTGAGTCCGCAGCTGCAGCGCAGTTCCGTCCGGGGAAGGGTCGCCGCCCCAAGGCTGGGCGCGGCGGTGGGGGTGGCGGTGCAGGTGGAGGTGGTGGTGGAGTCGGGTCGCCTGGTGGTAGCACTGACGAGGGGACCGTGACAGGTGCAGCCGAGCAGCCGTCTCAACAGCCGCAGGCGTCGCAGCCGGACCCGCACCAGCTGCAGCAGCAGCCCCAGCACCAGCCGCAGCAGCAGAGGCGGGCGAGTGGTCTCCCGCCCTGGTGGCGCTGGACGTGGTGGTCATGCGCGTGGTGTGCTGTCGGGTGGCAGTTCGGGTGACGGACGCTGTCAGTACCAGCTCCAGACCGGTCCTCATCGTGGCTTTGTTTGCAGTAAGATCGGTCACACCTCCGTCCACTATTTCCGTCGCCTGGACGACCTGTTTCGTTAGCGCTTCGGCCCGTCGCCCGATCTCCCCGACTGGTACAGCTTCGCCGTAGTGTTCAGATCTTTGATATGGACATGGATGAGATTGTTTCTGCCCTGCATGTGCTGTATGCTGATGAGTCTAGTGCGACTGTTTCTTACTACCCCTTGTTGCCTAATGTAAGCGTGTCTAGTCGTGCCTCCCCTGCTACGACAGGCGTAGGATCCCCTACTTTGTTTAGCCTTGGTTCTTTCTTCGCTGCTCCGACTCCGGACGCCACTACTGCGCTCTCCTTCACCCTGGACTCTGGTGCTTCCCGATGTTTCTTCCGCGACTCCACTACGCTAACGCCACTTGCTGGTCCTGCTGCGGTTTCTCTTGCCGACCCCTCCTCCGGCCCGGGATGTCTCCTTAGGTACCTGCGTCTACCCAGGTTGCTGCGGCCTGCTCCTGTCGGTCGTTCACTTACCCGACACTCATGTGGCACCACCGTCTAGGTCACCCTGCACTCCCGCATCTGCGTCACATGTATCATTACGGTCTTGTCCTAGGTCTCCCATGGTCATTCCCCGAGTTGCCCTCCTCCCCAGCACCACCGTGCGCGTCCTGTGTCGAGGGCCGGCTCCGCCATGCCCCTCACTTCTCCTCGTCCCCCCCTACCGCCGCACCGCTACAGACCCTGCACATGGACGTCTGGGGGCCCGCCCCCGTCCATGGGCCGCGTCAAGAGCGCTACTTCCTTGTGCTTGTCGACGAATACACGCGCTACACCACGGTGTTTCCCCTGGAGCGGAAGGCCGACGTGCCTGCCGTTCTCATCCCGTGGCTTGTCTCTTCGCGTGTCCACCGTGGCCTCCCTATCTTGCGTCTCCACTCCGACCGTGGTGGCCTCTGGTGTCCTTGGTCATTTCTATCGTGCGGAGGGCATCACCCAGACGTTCACCTTGCCGGACTCCCCGCGGCAGAATGGGGTCACTGAGCGATGCATCGGTTTGGTTATGGAGGTGGCCCATACCTCCATGATCCATACCAGTGCACCCTATTTTCTGTGGCCGTTCATTGTTCGCTACGCCGCTCACTAGCTTAACTTGTGGCCGCACCCGCATCAGCCGCAGGTTTCGCCGACCCTTCTTTGGTCCGGGACTCATGGTGACGCATCTGTGTTCCACGTCTGGGGCTGCCTTGCTCACGTTCGTGCCTCTGGCACGGACAAGCTCACTGCCCGCACCCTCCCCTGTGTCTTCCTCGGTTTCCCACTGACTCGTCTGACTGGCACTTCTACCACCCGCCGTCTCACCGTTTCTTTCACTCCCGCGACGTCACCTTTGACGAGTCCATCTCCTTCTACCGCCGCTTCCCCCACCGGGGTCCCTGGGTTACTTCCCCCCTTTTCCTGGTCCTCCCTTCCCTGGTGGCCCCTTCCCCTCTCCATCCCCCTCCCTGTCCTGCCCTGTCTGGTGTGTCTCACGTCACCCCCCTCACGTCCCTTGCCCCGGTCGAGGAATCTGCTGACTTTGGTGGCCCTGCGGCGCAGTCCTCGCCGCCTGCCCCTCCCCAAGTGTCTCCTCTTCTGCGGCCTCCGCAGCCGCCAATGCCGCCGCTGTCGCAGCCGCCGTCACCGTAGCTGCAGCCGTCGTTGCAGCCGCCGCCGCCGCAGCCGTCGCAGCAGCAGTTCGTTGACTCTGGGGGTGGTGGTGTTGGGGTGGGTTCTGGTCCTGGGGCTCCTGTCGTGGCTTGTCCCGGCGAGCCTGGGGGTGGTACTGGTGCTCGAGAGGTTTCGAGCTCTGGGGGTGTTTCGTCTAGGGGTGCTGGAGTGGAGTGTTCCGGAGGTGGCTGTGGAGCAGCTTGCGGTCCCGGTGTCGGTGTCGTGCTGCCACAGCAGCAGTCACCGCCGGTGTCAGCCCTTCTCCTGCTTGGCCTTCCGTCCCCTGACCACGCGTCTGTGCCTCTCCTGCCGTCTCCTCCTCTTCCTGTCTACGGCCCTGTATTCCCTCCCCCGGACTCGACTCCGGCTCGTCTTCCCCTTGTTCCCCTCTTGTGTCCCCTCCTCTGTCTCCTGACCCGACTCCCTAGTCTCACGTCTGGTCTCGTCGTCGCTCCCGTGCTCGCCCCGTCTCCCCTGTCCCGTGCTCTCACCCTATGTTGCTTCGTTCCCACGCGTCTCATCCTCCCCTCCTACCGTCGCCTCCTCCGTCCTCCTTTGTTGTTGCGCCTCCCCCTCTGTCTAACTACCTTCGTGCCGCTCGTCCTCTTGTTCATCGGGTCCTTGCCTCTCTCCTTCCCGACCCGGCTGTTCCGGTCTCGTGTCTTGACGCTCTTGTCGCTGTTATCGCTGACTTCGCCTCTACCCGCCACCACTCTGGTCTCTGACCCTGCCTGTCCTCTGTCTGTCGGGAGTGCTTCTGCCCTTGGCAGTGACGCCCTGGAGGATCGCCAGTACGAGCTTGCTTTCCTGTTCGAGGCTGCTCCTCATCTCTGTTCCATGCTGCTAGTACCTGAGGGTGACCCAGACGCTTTCGATATCCCGACCCCTCGCACTTACGCTGAGGTGACCTCGGGACCTTGGGCCTCTCAGTGGATAGCTGCCATAGAGCAGGAGATGGCATCTTGGAGATCCACCGGCACATACGTCGACGCAGTATCCTTGGATGGGGTGAACGTAGTCGATGGTCGCTGGCTCTTCAATGTGAAGGGCCCTCCTGGAGAGCCGCCCGTGTTCAAGGCGTGCTACGTGGCTAGAGGCTTTAAGCAGCGTGAGGGGGTTGATTTCTTTCAGACTTTCGCTCCGACCCCGAAGATGACTACTCTTCGGGCAGTGCTACACGTAGCAGTTCAGCGTGACTGCGAGTTACACTCCCTAGACTTCTCCACTGCTTTTCTTCAGGCTAGTCTGCACGAGCAGGTCTACCTGCGACGCCCTCAGGTTTTCACTAGTACCTTTCTCTTGGGACCCAGTGGCTCCTACGGCGCCCAGTCTACGGCTTGCGCCAGGCGCCCCGCGAGTGGCACGACATGCTACGTGCTACCCTTGCTGACCTGCAGTTCTTTCTGTCCTCTGCAGACCCCTTGCTCTTCGTTCGTTCTGGCCAGACTCCGTTCTACATCATTGTTTACGTAGACGTCCTGGTCTTTGCCACTGCAGACACCACCGCGCTGGCCTTCGTGAAGGCTGAGCTGCTGAGGAGACACACCTGCACTGACCTAGGAGAGCTGTGCCACTACCTGGGCCTGCAGATCTCTAGGGACAGAGCAGCGCGCACCATCACCCTCACTCGGTCACAATTGGTGCGCCAGATCCTTTAGAGGTTCGGTCTTCAGTTCTCCTCCGCACAGCCCACTCCTCTTCCAGTAGATCACAGGCTCTCAGCTCCAGTTCCTGAGGAGTCGGCAGAGCCCAGTGGTCCTTACGCAGAGCTGGTGGGTTGCCTCATGTACTTGATGACTTGCACTCGTCCAGATCTCGCATACCCTCTCAGCATCCTGGCTCGCTTTGTGGCCACAGGCAGACACCGACCTCAGCACTGGTCGGCCGCTAAGAGGGTTTTGGGTTATCTTGCGAGTACATCAGGCATGGGGTTAGTGCTGGGAGGACGCAGGCTTGTGGTCCTTACTGGGCACACAGACGTTTCGTGGGCAGACGGCGCCGAGACCCTCAGGTCCTTGCAGGGCTATTGCTTTAGTCTTGGTTCAGGTGCTGTCTCGTGGAGAGCTACTCGCTCCTCGTCTGTTGCCCAGTCCAGCAATGAGGCCGAGATCTACGCAGGTGCCATGGCGGCACAGGAGCTCCGCTGGCTGACCTTGTTGCTCACTGACTTAGGTGAGCGGCCTAGCTCTGCCCCGGTCCTGTACGCTGACAACAGGGCCATGATCCTCCTGTGTCAGGAGCCTCGATTTCAGGGCAGAGAGAAGCACATCCAGCTGCGGTACTTCCTCCTGCGTGAGCTACAGCAGCGTCGCCAGGCCCGCGTAGTACACTTGGCCTCCGGTGCCAACATGGCTGATATCTTTACGAATGCGCTTTCGCCTAAAGATCATCAGCGGCACTGTGTACAGCTAGGTCTCATTCCTGTAGCCTCTCACCTGCTAGGGCCTTGACTATGTAAAGACCTTTATATATATTTTACCCTTGACTCGCCTTGTGGCCTCTCTCAGTTGCTGGACTAGTAGTGCCGCCCTGGCCTTGCTCTTGCATTGGTCTGTACCTGTTTGATTGGTCTTTAGACCCTTGCCTCAGAGGTTGGACTAGTAGTGCCACCCTTAGTTGCCTATTCTCTCGTCAGGAACTGCTCCTATGCAGTCGAGGGGGTGTGTCAAACATATATTGTTATGTTTGTATAGACTGTATAGGTTTGTGTCTTAGAGGGTACAACCCTTAGTTCGTATAGCCTTGTACTCATGTCTTCTATTCATTATTCAATTCTGATAAGTGTGACTCTTGTGGTTGTAAGCGCGAGTCTGATGATGACCTGACCACATTCAGTTCAGTTCACTCAGGTACTCCTGCAAGCAATCCAGTGAGGTGAGGTTGGTGGTTTCTGGCACTCTGTACAGCACTCTTTGTGCAGGCACTCTCTGTACAGGCACTCTCTGCACAAGCACTCTTTGTACAGGCACTCTCTGTGCAGGCATTCTCTATGCTGTAGCTGAACCCTCATCCTCTTAGTGAGACAGGAGCTCGTCCATGACTGGAAGCTCGCAGCTCATAAGATAGCTACACTGTACATCAATCGACAAACTGCATGGCGCTATACATTACTAGCCTAATATTTAAATGTGTTACACAACGCACTTTGAGACTGACACTACAGGTGGAAAGGGAGTGGATGAGTGGACAAGGGGAGCACAAGGGTGGCACTAGGGGGGCACTAGGGGGGCAGGGCTCTACAAAACGTGAGAGTGAGAGTGATGGAAGGGGACTTATGAAGAGGAGAGTGAAGAGGTCAAAAGAGATGCTGGAAATACGGTACTAGAAAAGGGAGAGGAGAGATTTCCTCACAAGCTACCGTACTCTGACTTTCCCCTGCCGTGCGTTGCATAACTCCTCCCTCCAAAACTCAAAAGCCTTGCCCCCTCAACTCAGGCGCTTGGCCACCATGTCGTGCGCCACCCGCATTGTGAGGAGCCTTAAGCTCCTCAAGCGCCTCAAGCGCCTCAAGCGCCTCAAGCGCCTCAAGCGCGTCAAAAGTCTTGGTCCATCAGCTCAGCTCAGGCCAGGCTCTGGGCCGCCATGTCGTTCACATTGGAGCTCGCTGCTCGCGCCTTCTGCAGCAGCGACGACACCATCGCATCTCCCTCCTCTTCCTCCTCTTCGTCGTCCTCCTCCTCCTCTTCCCTCTCTTCCTCTTCCTCCTCCTCCTCCGCCTCCTCTCCGTTACCCTTTCTCGCCTCTTCAGCCTTCCCCTCTTCACCATCTCCCACCGCTTCCGCTTCCGCGCTCGCCGCAGCATTCCCGAGGATGCGCGCCACCGTGGCGCCCTCGCCGGGTTTCGCGCCGGAGATCCCGTTCGCCGCGTCGTCGTCGTCCGCCGTCAGCTCCCACGTGGCGTCGTGGAACGCGTCCGACTGCGGCGACGGGGGAACGTAACGATCACCAGCAGCAGTAACGGCTGAGTTATTACTCGCGTCAGCACCACTAAAGGTAGGAGTTTCATTCGTCGCCGGAACAAGCGGCGAGGCTTTGTACGTGGCATCAGTGCTGCCTTCGCCCTTTTTCTTGCCGCCTCTGAAAATGCTGACGATGGCGAACGCTCCCGCGGCTACGACGGCGATCGGAATCAGCAGCGCGAGCGGGGACCTCTTCGCCTCGTCCTTCTTCGCCGCGCCGGTTATCGCGGCGCCGATGGCGCCGATGTTCACGCCGCTAATCACGGGCTCCGCGGCTTCGTCCGCGTCAGCAGCCGGCACTTCCACAAACTCCCGAACCTGAACCTCTTCCATCGAGTCGGTTCGAATTCCCGAAAGAGGCTAATGCACAGGCTCGCGAATAAGATGTGACCAGTGGTAATGGAACACCAGAAAATACCTCGCTAAGCTGGGAAACTAGCGAGATGTGGTGAGAGCAAATGCTTCTTATTTGCGAGCTCACATTAGCGAGGTTCCCGGGGTGCGATCTGGCGGGAGGGATGCAGCTCCGAGAAATTAGGGTGCGATGGGGGCAAGGGGGTTCGTTGGCTGGAGCATGGTCTATGCGACGTTCGCGAACCGTCGTGAGCGAAGTGTGAGAAGTCGCGGGAGGGCACCAGCATCTCAGATTGTTGCTGTCTTTCTGCATAAGAATACGGGTGTAGGATTTTGTTTCCAGAATCGATGCGTTCAAAATCGAGTACCACGACAATCACCACCTCGCAGAATGTGTCGTTGAAATTTTGCAACCACCTTGAATTTCTCCCAGCAACCAAGAATTCTTAGCACCATGTGACTGGAACTGCCTCTCTGCCGAGTACAGAATAGGACCTCCTGCCAAGCTAAAAGCCATGGCTCCCACACAGGGCGATTCCATCACGTTTCCATGGTGCCAGCTGCTTCACTCTGATTGGCGGATGAAAAGAGCGTCGGAAGTTGGCGTCAGTGGCGAGCAGCTTACCCAGTTACCAGAAACAGGCAACTCCAGAACCTCCCGATATTCGTTCCAGTTTAACGAAGAATATTCGACGGAAGGACAGAGTGACGGCGCCGACGGCATAGATTCGCGGATTTCGAATAGTATTCGGGATAGCAGCGAGTGGAACTGTAACGAGGATGGCTGGATGCCGGCCATCGTTCCTGGAACGTACGTTCTTGGGATTGCCGGTGGTGTTGGCCCCATGCTTGCAGGGACCGTGACGGGAAACCCGCCACCCGAACCGGCCGTGTCATGTCCTTGTAGCACTGATTCCCACCACATGTCTTGCAATGTGATGTCATGTTTTGCCATGCCATGTTTTGCCATGTCATGTTTTGCCATGTCATGTTTTGCCATGTCATGTCATGATGTCAAGCCATTCCCACCACGCGTCTTGCCATGTGATGTCATGTCTTTGGAACGACCCTCCGTGTGTAACATGATCCACTTTACTCTCCACACTCGTTGTTCTCAATCTTCTTCCTTCTTGAATCTCTTGGTTCTTGCTTTTCCTTGCTTGTTCCTGATCTCGACCTTTTTCCCGTGCCTCTCTGTTCGTCCGCCCTCTCAGAGTGCTCAGAAGCCATGTTCACCCTAACATCCTTCCTCGGTCCCTCCCTTGTGCCTCCCCGGCCCTCTCCACGATCTGATTTCTGGCACCTTGATTCAGCTCAATTACTTGCTTTCACTCTTCTCTTCTCCTCCCCCCCGTCCCTCAGCGTGCTCCGACAGCCTCGTGGCCAACGGCCTGTTCTTCAACGCTCTCCACGGCACCTTGATTTAACTCAATAACTTGCTTTCACTCTTCTCCTCTCCCCCCCCGTCCCTCAGCGTGCTCACCATCCCCGTGGCCAACGGGGTGTTTCCGGACCCCCTCCACGGCACCAACACAGGGAACAGCATTCCGGACATATTCTACGCAGGAATGGACTTCTACATCTTCCTCTTCCGCTGCTGCTTCCACCTCTCTTGTCTTCCTTTCTCACTCTTCCCGCCTTGCCTCTCTCTTCCATTCTTTACTCTCTCCTCCCCCCCCGTCCCCCAGCGTGCTCACCAGCCTGGTTGCCAATGGCATGTTCCCGGACCCTCTCTATGGCACCAACACACGGGACCTCGTCCCGGACATATTTCACGCGGGCAGGGACTTCTACACCTTCGTCTTCCGCCGCTGCTTCCACCTGCCTGCCCGGAAGATTCCTGCGTTAATGTTCTCTCCGTCTCAGCTGCGTGACAATCAGACAGCCGCTCTTGCTGCTGCTGCTGGTGCGGACAAGGGGTGCTGTAGCAGGGGTGGCAATAGCGAGCGTGGGTGGGAGTGCTGCGAGTGGGAGCGTGTGTGGCTGTGCTTCCGTGGCGTCAACTATTCTCTCTCAGTCTTCCTCAACGGCCGCCAGCTCAGCATCGACCGGCCAGCTGGCATGTTCTTGCGGCGCCAGCTAGACATAACTGACTTGGCGAGGAGGGGGGACAGCAACAAGTTCGGTTGCATTAGCAACGGATCTACCAGCAACGGCTGTAGCAACAGCGGCTGTGGCAGCAGCGCCTGTAGCAGCAGCAACTGTAGCAGCTGCAGCAGGAACCACGTGGCGGTGTTGGTGAATCCGGTGGATCACCCGGGGAACGTGGATGGGGGAGGGCAGGGCGGGGACCACCAGGTACGGTGGCTTGCATGGCCTGATGTGTGTGGTATGCCATTTGACATGCTGTGTACTATGGCATGTTATGTGTTACTCACTGCTACATGCGTGGATGGGGGAGGGCAGGGAGGAGACCACCAGGTATGATGGCGCGCATGGATTGATGTGGCGTGGCATGCCATGTGTGACATGCCATTTACGACATGCCATGTGTGACATGCCATTTGCGGCATGCCATGTGTGACATGCCATTTGCGGCATGCCATGTGTGACATGCCATTTACGGCATGCCATGTGTGACATGCCATCTGTGAGATGGCATTTTCGGCATGCCATGTGTGACATGCCATCTGTGAGATGGCATTTACGATGTGCCATGTTTTACTTGCCATCTGTGAGATGCTATGTGTTGGCAGCTTGTTAAACGGAGTAAGAAGGCATTCTGCATGTGCCCTTCGACCCTTGATTTCACACCCGCCCGCATGCCCCAAGCTTCCTCATAACCCATGCCACTATCTTCCCCTGCTGCCATGACCTATGCACGCAGGTGGCTAAGGATGTCACAGCACAATACGTGGAGGGCTGGGATTGGATCATTCCCATCCGGTATGGTCCCCTCTGCCCCATGTGCAACCACTCTGCCCAGCTGCTGCTTGACCAGGCATCATCTGACGCCTGCTATCGTGGTGTTCTAATTAATTGATCCGGGAATGCTCATTTGTTCGTGCTACGGCCCACTCTCCCCTGGGCAGCCAGTTTCCCGTCTGATAGTTTTGGCACGATTTGCGCTGCCACTGCATGCTTCTTTCCATTGCCCGTCCTGCTTCCCTCCCTCTCTCTTTGGGCTGGCAGGGACCGCAACACAGGCATATGGGACAGGGTGCACGTGGCTGTCACTGGGGTGAGGAGGGAGGGGGGAAAGTGGGGAGGGGGGGGTGGAGAGGGTGAGGCTGGGGTGAGGGTAGGTACATGTGGGACAGAGTGCACGTGGCTGTCTCTGGGGTGAGGAGAGAGGGGGGAAAGAGGGGAGCAGGGGGGGGGGGTTTGAGGCTGAGTTGAGGATGGGTAAATATGGGACGACGTGCACGTGGCTGTCACTGGGGTGAGGAGGGAGCGAGGGTGGGAAGATGTGGGAGTGGGTTGGCTGTGTGAGAGAGAAAGACTGGGAAAGGGAGAGAGGAGGGGGGCTGGAGGGGTGCATAGAGGATAGGGTAGGGTGGAGGGGTGCAGAGAGGGTAGGGTAGGGTGGTGGGAGGCAGAGCGGGTAGGGTAGGGTGGGGGGATGCAGAGCGGGTAGGGTAGGGTGGGGGGATGCAGAGCGGGTAGGGTAGGGTGGGGGGATGCAGTGGGAAAGAAGGTGAGAGTGAAGCAAACGGTTGCTCAACGTTTGCAGATGCACGAGATTGAATGTCGCATTCGTTTTTCTCCCTTGCATCCCTGTCTGTGTGCATCCCCATGTTGCATGCATCCCCATGTTGCATGCATCCCTGTTTTACATGCATCTCCATTTTACTTGCATCCCCGTGCATGCATCCCTGCTTGCCTATTTGGCAGCCCGTGACCCTGGGAGACCCCCATCTGGTGGCTGTGTTTGGATTCAGCGATGATAGGCCCGAGGGGGTGGTGGGTGGGAGAGGACGGGAGGAACGGGAGGAACGGGAGGAAGGGCAGCAGCAGGAGGCAGGCCTCGGCAGAGGATCAAGCAACCCTTCGCCTGTCGCCAGCAGGGCATGGAAATTCTCACCTTCTCCTTCCTCCTCCTCTGCTCCTGCTCCTGCTCCCCCTGCTGCTGCTCCTCCCGCCCCTCCCTTCTCCCCCTCCTCCGCCTCCCTCCACTGCTCCCTCGCTCTCACCAACTCTCTCCCTCTGCCCCTCCGCACCCGCCTCTCCCTCGAGCTCTCATTCACACCAGGGACATGTAGGGGAGTGGAGAGGGGATGGGGGATGGAGGGAGGTGGGAGGACTCGTGGGGGTGGGGAATGGGAGGAGGAGGAGGATGGGGAGGGATTTGTGATGGTGGAAGGGGTGAGGGAGGAGGAGGTGGAGGTGCCTGCAAACAGCACCGTGACTCACACATTCCAGCCGGTATGCCACGCACGCACATTCCAATCCAAGCAGCATGGCTCAAAGAGCACAAGCTGTTGCATTGTGACTGAGTCAAGTGTCACCTCTGCCGGCCCTATGGCATGGACGGATTCCATCCCCCTGTCCCTCCCCCCTCCCTCCCTTTCAACTACTCGTGTCCCGCCCTCGCCTCTGGTGGCCCAACAGCATGAAGCCCCAGTCCCTGCTGCCCAGCAATCCCTGCTCCTGTGCCCTTCTCCTCTTCTCTCCTCTCCCCTCCTTACCTCTCCCCCCTCCCTCCCCCCTCCCTCCCCCTCAGCTACTCGTTTCTCGCCCTCGCCTCTGGTGGCCCAACGGCATGGGTCCCCAGTCCCTGTACGACGTCACCATCACTGCGTCCGCGCTGCACCCGCCCACTTTGGCATCCCCACGAGAGCGTGCTGACGGGCGCAGCACGGATGCAGCAGCACACAGCAGGGAAGCAGCAGCACACAGCAGGGAAGCAGCAGCACACAGCAAGGAAGCAGCAGCACGCAGCACGGAATCAGCAGCTCCACAAGAATACACTGATGGGCGCAGCACGGAAGCAGCAGCCGCACCATTACCGCACACCGCCACGGCAGCCTCCCTCTCTCCTTTACCAACATCGACCCCTGTGTCCTGGAGCCAGTTTCTCTCGCAGAAGCTGACCTCCGGCCTTAGCAAGGGGAAGCATTACCTGGAAGCGAGCCTTGGGAGGGAGGCGGGTGTGGAAGAAGGGGAGGGGACACGGGGGGAGCGTGAAGGGGAGGGGAGG